TCCTAGCCGCCCTAACTGTGAAGTAGTTCTTACGGATGTCTAATCTAAACCTCCTCTCCAACAACTTGTGGCCGTTATTCCTCGTTATGCCAGGGGGCGCTAGGGGAAACAAGGTCTCTCCCAAAAAACAAAGTCTCTCCCAAAGATTACAGGACAAGCCCACCAACCCCAAATTTCAAAGGGACTGAAAGACTTTAAATGGAAAAAAATCTCCTCCATTTCTTGCCCTTTCACCTTTCTTGTCATGCCATTTATAACAAATTGCAGCTCTCCATAAGGCTTATACTCCTCTCACTCTAGCAAAATGTGGTACAGTGCAGGTTTAAACAGCAGTTGGAGGAATATGAAGACAGAATAACTCCCAAAGCACTTGGAACTCGTGGTATGAACAGATTAACACAGCTAGCCACAAGAGACTCTTAGATGACTTACAGTTTTGCAGCAGAGTGTAATTTTTTAAACATGGGCTACATGCTATTATTATATGTGCTGGAGTTGCACGTGACATTAATTATGAAGCAGTGGAGAGCATTATCAGCAGTGTTGTAGACACCATGAAAGTGGCAAGGAAAGCAGGATGCCTTTTCCTCACTTTTGATGATCTGCGCTGAAGGAGCATGCTCTAGTGGAATCTTAACAAACACAAAGCCCAGTTAACAATACTTGCTTGGGGTCATTTGACCCCAGTACTCTTTCCTGCCATGGCAGGGGGTTGGATTTGATGATCTGCTCAGGTCCCTTCCATCCCTACTAACTATGAAACTTAAATTTGCAGAGTTTTGTACATAGGCTTGGCATACCACAGCAGGTTTAAATCCCTAAGGCCAGGGACAAAAGAAATCAATCAATCAATCAATCAAATGAATGAAACGTAAATAAACCTACAAAATCTAAAAAAGTCTGATGCCTTCAACTGTAACCTTCCCTCCCATGGGTCAAAATGAGGTTTGAATCCTGGAACTTCAGGACTATCACTTGAGCAATGAGTACTGGATAGTCTCCTTTACTTCAGCCACCTTAAGAATCACTTAAGATGTGTTCCCATGTAGGTTACACAATCATTTGCTAGACAAAATATTGCGTATCAGAGATTAGCAGTCCTAGGTTTCACCCCAGTACCGGGAAAGTGTGGCCTCTACCAGATGTTACATTTAAGATACAATTAACCCGTTAAATGACAGCTTGAATAGTAAGCCAGCCACACACTCAGGAAATTAATGGTACCACAAAACCAGCCACAAAATTATACCACAAAAAGTTTAATAAAATTTTGCGTTTGCTTTCCATCGTACCTTAAACCAAACATACGGCAGGGTCGCCCATCACGCAGCCTGATGCTGGCTGCATGACAGGGCTTGGCTGACAGCTTTCCCGACCCCAGGACTATACCAGCCTCCCGCCAGCTTAAGAGCTGGGACCGACAACAAGCTTGGCTGCAGGTCCCAGCGCCGGGGACTGCACTAGAGCTGGCTGGAAGCTCCAGTATGGTCCTAGGGGTGGAGCTGACAATCAGCTGCTTGTCAGTCCCAGTCCCTGGACTACACTGTTTCACCAAGAACCTGGCTTTCACCTTGTGGTGCTCATGATTCCAGGCTCCCGTTGCACTGGCAAGTAGTAACAGTGCAATTAGGATCCGATCCCTGATCTCAAAATCATGCATCCTGTCAGGATTACCAAATTAGAACACAGATGTAATCTTGTTTAATCTCTGTTACTTGTTTGTGGAATGGGACGGAAGCCTGTGCTTGACTACTATACAGAGTTGAAGTTCACGGCCTTGGTCAATAAAAAAAGCTGGTGCCAGCACACGAAAACAAGCTGCCATCATTAGAGAAGAGAGGGGTTTTTCTATAGCATCTCCCCAGCACAGTTTACCTGGCAAGAAAGTCTCTCTAAAAAAGGTTTCATTGAACACATGCGTGTTGTTGCCACAGCTGAACATGACAAGTTTATTCCTTTTCAGCTATGGAGAAAAACTGACAATACCACACAAATATTTCATGCTTAACATTCCCCAGCACATGAGAAGCAATATGCAGAGCTCAGATTGTTTTAGATTTCTTACAAAAGGAATAGAGGAAAAAAGGAACTTGAAAATACTGCAACGCTTCCAAACTGAATTCTACTGCTTTATATACATTAACCTAATTTCCATCAAACCACCATCAAAAATTCAAATAGTTGTAAAAGTTTTGCCCCGAATTGATTCTGGAATTTATGACGTATACATGTATTTTTTTTTTTTTTTTTTTTTTTTAGAATTCCTCTCAAGATGAAAGCTTGTTTCAGCCTTAACTACAATACTATGAGCAATTGCCGGCTCCAACATAAGACTACATTCCAGCTCCAGGCCATTACTTCTAGATTTGTTCTTTAAAACATTTTACATAGTTCCTGTAAAATTAAAGCATAACAACTTAAATTAACCACCTCAACCAACTGATGGCATATGCAAGTTAAAAGTCAGAGTGAAGGTACAATTCTGAGGGTAACAAAATAATGAGACAAGACACCAAGGATGACAAAGTTTTATCACTTAACAGCCTAACAAATCCACATGGCAGAATAAATTGCACAAACACAATGGAAAGACATTCATCTTGAAAACAAAAACCATCTGTCACTGAACTGAAGGAACCTCTCAGTGCGTGCGTGTTTTTTGAGCTTTTAAAGGACTTCACATTCATTTGCACATTCATTTACCCAATGCAATACAATGAGACTGGTGGCAAGGACAACCCTGCCCTACAAACAGGGGTCAGCAACCTGTTGCCTGCAGGCTGCTCACACAGGTCAAACCCAGTCTGTATTTTTTTTTTTTTTTTTTTAAGGGCACACCTACGGCTTCCTGATGCTCCAGCCAGCTGCTAATGCCCAGGTGAAGGGCTGCTTTTTCATGCTGCAGCCTCTGCTCACTATGGCTGGAGCAGCCAGAGGGGAAGGGGAGTTTGTGGCACCTGCTGGGTGCAAGCCGCAGCCTGAGTTTACAAAAGGTTGTCCACCCCTGTTCTAAAAGATCTTTCCCAACCCTGTCATATAGGGTTCAGGGAACACATCCACTGAAGAGACTTAAAATTCCCTAGA